TAAGTGGATCTCGGGCGAGATAAGCCTGCACGATTTCGCGCAAGCTATAAGACTTCATTTTAAAATATAAGTTTTCATAATCGAATAACTTGTCTCATACAAGTTATATACACTATCTTGTCATTTTTACTACTGTATATACAAAACGAACAATGAAATGTTCCTAATGTAAAATCTTCTCACTTAGAAATGGATAAGAATCATAGTTCAGCTTTCGTTAATTGGGGTTTCAAAATTAACAAATAAGTGACTATTTCGAAAAAAAATAAGTAGGATTTTTTCAATAGCATTTTTACTATGTTGAATTATAAATCGGAAAAATAAAATAAGATTCGCTGATTTTAATTTTGAAACCCCTAATGTAACAAAGAAAAATTAAAAATGATAATACCAACAAAAAGTGACAAGGAATGTTTTTATGAATTTGTTCTTTCACGTATGACTATTAGCGACTGATATTATAAATTCATTCATAATTTTTTCTCTAAATTTTAGCGCACACACATGTTCCAGATGCGAGTACAGGATATTATGACGAATTGGACAGTTTATTCCAAGAAAAACCCGTAATCACCTTCTGTAAATTTCCATCTTTAACAATTCAATTTTCAGTTGAATTATTTTACAGTACTCTTAGCAGCTTAAATAAAACTCGCTATCAAAAGAAAACTAACTGAATGTATACGTGTATCTTTTGCTCCACTCAATTCGTCTTTAATAAATTAATCAAATGATATGAAAATTGCATGAACATGATTCTATATTCGTTATAATATCTCTTTATTGCTAACTTAATATACCAGCTGGGGCAGTGTTGTGTATTTGTGCTTTTGCTGTTAAAAGACAGTTCGACAGATGTATTCTAGCTTATACTATCCTAAACGTATATAACAAAAATTTCATGCTAATCATGTTATTCAATACTAGATTATAATAATGGCAACGTGCATATACTTTCAAACAAGCTATTAAAGATTCTAAAGTAAGGTACACATTACGAAACTATATCCAGACATTTTGGCTACATATTATTTTATTTACTTAACTATGGTAATAGTTATTCGAAATAACATTCCGTTGCTGCGTCTCCTCAAATAGTATAGACGACAACCATTTCGCCGACAAAAATGACCAGATTTAGGTTTTGACTGGCCTGATTTATAATTAGTGTAGGCAGGAGGTGGATTGTCGACGAATTCTACCATAACACGTTCCGGATTTAAATAATCTGTCCGAATAAGGAGATAAAATAATTTATTAAATAACTATATTATTATTTGAAATAATTTCACGTGTGTCAATTGATTTATCTTGTTTCTGACTAATATAACTAATAAATTGGCTGCTATGAATTGTACTGCCATCAATAATATAATTTGCATTTTTTGTTGCTATTTCTTCGTCACATTTTTGAAATTCCGATAAGAAATCAGCATTATTTTTCCAGGTATCAATAGTTTTACAAATCACTAAAGCAGTTGGTCGATTTTTTGGGTCATTATCCCAACATTTTTTTAAAAGATCTACATAAAAATGGGGTGTACCTTTAGGAATAATCGGTCTTAAGCCATCACAAATTTCTATTGAAAGGCTTAAGTTATCATGTTGACTATTTTTACTATCAGGATATGCAACATGTCCTGAAGATATTTCCCACATAATTATCCCAAAAGAATAAACATCTGATGCTTTAGTAAATGGGTTTCCTCGTAAAACTTCAGGTGCAATATATAGCAATGCTCCGTAAATTCCTCCAGATTTCGTGTCTAATAAATTGTTGATTGACTTTGCAAAGCCTAAATCAGCAATATAAATCATTTTGTAATATATTACCGCTATGTAAATCACAATGAATAATATTATGCGAATGAATTATTTCAAGGTCAAACGCGATATAAGATAGTAGTTCTAATTTTTTTTCCCATTTCATTTGTGTAACAGCGCAAAGATTCTGACGTAACGATCCCATTGGTGCGTATTGCATAACTAAAACATAATCACCAGTCGCTTCAACTTTTGATACTCCATGACATTGCAA